GCTCTGTGGGAAGGAGGGAGGTCCCGCCTCAGCAGCCCAGTGAGCGTGCCCCGCCCGGCAGCGGCCCGGCCCCGCCAGGTCCCTGTGCCGCCGTGGGCAGGCGTGAGATGGTGAGCCCTGCGCGGCTTTCCCCCGTCCGTCGCTTACTTCTGTCTTACGAGCTTGCGCCTTCCCGAGCCCGCCCGATACCTCCGTTACCATCAAGCGGTGCCGATCGCCCTCTGCGGCTATTCCTACGGCAGCTCCTTCTTTACAATTAACGAAATTCTGTATTGTCTGTAAACTTGAAATGGTGCTGAACTGGCACGAAAAGGTAGTTTAGATGTAATAAAAATAAGCATAGTCTTCTTCATCTGTAAGTTTCTTTGGGCGTGGTACTATCCCAGTTGTTTCTTGGGGTCTCTTTTTTGTTAATTCTCTGTGAAAGCATAGGAGCATGAAGTGATACCAGAAAATTTCAGAAGCTGACATACTGAGACAGGAAGATGACGTAGCAGAGACATCCCAAGTAAGAAGTGGTCAGTAAAAAGCACTGAACATATGTTGACTGAGGAACTGGGCTGAACCCTTGTGAAAGCACTGGGTTTTGGAGGCCTGTGGAGCAGTGGAACAGCCACAGAGCACTGAGCTGCAAATGCCATATGCTATTGTATATGTTTCCATAGGGACCTATGAACTTCTATGTGAATATATATGTTGTTACTGTTTATTTTTAGACTGTTTGTGTAGTTAGTATGATTGTGTTTGGCATGTGCTTATTAAAGCTATCTTTTGGAAACAATTCTGACTTAACATTTTTCTTTTTAGAATATTGAATACATGTTTGGCATTGTTGGTATTCCAGTCACTGAAATCGCAATTGCAGCCCAAGCAGCTGGAATAAAATACGTAGGAATGAGAAACGAACAAGCTGTGAGTATATATCTGTAGTAGGACCAATCCTTTCTTTTAACTGTTTTACAACAGAATTAAATCCAGTTTATATTTTGTTACTAGAAATAACGTGATCTCTGAATGTTCCTTTAAAGAACCTGTAGAGAAGCAGTCACTGTCAGCCTAGAATAAGGGAGAGCATTGGTGGATTGGGTTGGGTGTTTCTTTTTGCCCTTCTTTCCCCACTTCCATTTTTAAGTGACTCTTCCTTTTCTAATAAGGGAATTGCAACTTTTTCATTTTTAGATGCCTTTCTCCAATAAGGGAGAGAAGGTAGAATGAAAACAGGGAGAAAAAGAATTTTAACAAAGCATTCCAATACAGAAAGAAAAAATTATCAATTTTGTCTCCTTCAAGTAATATATTGTCAGGTTTTATCTGCCACTTTTTGGGAGGCTCACCCAGGTTTTTATTTTTCTGTAGTTTTCTATAGACTTTCCAATATACTTCTCCCTTAAATTTTTCTACTGTCACTTTCTTTTGCTGGTGTCATCCCTTCCAAATTAGGACAACATTATCACGCTCCCTCTAATTGGTAGTATTTTAATTCCTTTTTTAGGACTTTCTTAGCTGTTACTTTCCTTTTTGTTTAGAAGGATATTTTACTTAGGAGCTATTTCCTACAGGCCTAAAAAGGTAGGGTTTTTTCCTTGTCTCTGTTCTGTTCTTGCAGTGCCCAAAGAGGAAGGTTTCCCTGCTGATAAGCTTGTCCTGAATATTTTCAATAATTGTAATATCTTTTTTTCCTTAACTGTGTTTTAAAAGCTCACCAAACAGCAAATTGTAGAAAGTTAAAATGCTTCTGAATGCTCAAAATCAAGCACGAACATACCCTTAGAGGGTCTTAATTGTATATATTTCAGCTTCGTTGTCGAGGTATCAGAAGTTAGACTCAAGCTCATTAGCATTTTGATGTTAAGCCACTAGTTCTGGATTTGTTTGGTTTCCCCCAGTAGTAGCTCTTGAAGCATTCAGTAGGTTCTCAGGTAGTCTGAGGTTGAATATAATAACCTCAGGTTTATACCTCGTTTTCAAGGATTGCTACACAAGCTGGCTAGCTAGCTGCTAGCTGTTGCACTGCTAGCAAATGAACCATCAGGTGTCCGTACTCCAAGTTGCTTTACTATATTTCTCAATTTTCCATAACTGATGCCAACAAATAAATAAATTGATTGATTATTACCTTATCAGGAGATTTTTTTCTTGTGTTTTAACTTGTTTATGGATCCTATCTGTCTATGAACACTATTAATTAGAATTTTAACACTTCTACAAGGAACTTCTTCTAGTATTCTAGTATTCTGGACCTGCACAGTATTCAGGTGCCTGTATTTTGCAGCAGTGTTCTTTTTCTGTTTTCCACCATGTAGCCTTCGTGGATCATCCCAGGTGTCAATAAAGCATTAGAATAGTAGTTCTCCTAAATCAGGTGGTCACGAGCTGTATGTTTTTGCTGTCTAATCCTTACATTCTTATATTGGAATGTGAGAATTTGCAGAGGAATGCATGTCTCTATGGAAAATCTGTAACATGAGAGAGGCAAACATATACAAATATGTTTAAAAGATGTATTTGATTCCTTTGAAGGACAGGGAATTCAACACAGTCTTTATATTCCTGTAGGCAATTTAGCAACTGTTCTAGTTTTAGCTTTGGTTATTAACATGATTAAAATTAATTTCCTCATGTGTCTGTAATTAAAAGAGAAGATTGCTTTGCACTGCCAAGTGAGATGCTGTCCTATTTTTCACTCTTTACTAGACTCTTTTCTGTTAGAGTGAAGAAGACAAGAAACATTCTGCTGTGTAAATGGTGAGATACTTTTGCTTAGGGAAATAACAATAACATGAAGACTTGTTGTAACATCAAAATGTCAGGGTTTCTCTTCTTTGGGAACTAGAAAAGGATGAACAAAGATATATGTGGGTTTTGTTTTGTTCTTTGTCCTCAGTGAAGACCTAGAGTAATTGCTTGGCAGAGGAGAGGATAAAAGGCTATATGCAGTATATTCACGGTACACTTAATATTTACACGTCATAGTTTTGTCTATTAGTTGTCTGGTCTGGTTGTGGAGGGTGTGTATACAGCTGCTTCCTTTATTGGTGAAGGCAGCCCTATATGATCTGAGAGATATGGAAAACAAAGGTTTTTTTCCAGGGGTTGAGTTTCTGCCTCATTTCTCAGCCAGATGTAGCGAAAGCCCATAAAACTGCAGAATAAAGTGTTTGACTAGAAAGACCAGTTTAAATCATGAAGTTAAAAGCTAAGTAGTACTACCAATATCCGTTAGCTAATCTCCTGCGGCCTGTAACATGGCATAAGTTTGCTAGAAGCAGTTCAACCCGTGTCCCGTATGCCCCTTGAACACTGGATAGTTATGTGGCAACTTGATAGGGGGGTGTGTTTTGTGTATCTGTCCTTGGGTAATTAGAGATTGCTGTGATTGTTTAGAAAACTGATAACCCAGGTCAGTTTTAAACTTCAAAAAAAACCTTCACTAGATTGTTATTCATTAACAACACACATTGCTAATCATAGAATCATTAAGGTTGGAAGAGACCTCTAAGATCATCAAGTCCAACTGTCAACCCAACACCACCATGCCCACTAAACCATGTCCCTAAGCACCTCATCTACACGTCTTTTAAATACCTCCAGGGATGGTGACTCAACCACTTCCCCGGGCAGCCTGTTCCAATGTTTAACCACTCTGTCAGTAAAGAAATTTTTCCTCTCGTCCAATCTAAACCTCCCCTGGCACAACTTGAGGCCATTTCCTCTTGTCCTAAATGTTTAGTTCTTAATCTTTAATAATAATTATCACTACGTATTCAAAGCAATCTCTTCTTGATAATCTTACCCTAAGTTAGTCGTGAGTATATAATGCGCTGGAGCTGGTACAGCGTAGTTAGCACGGATGGTGCTAGCTGTCAGGTGAATCAGACTCGAGAACCCTTCAATAAGGGCAGCTGTAACCAAAGCAGACATCTTTTTTTCTCCACCTCTTAGATTCAAGATCTCTTTTTATAAGACGTTTTGGTCTCTGAACAGATCTTACCCCTTGGCCTCCGTGCCTGGACTGTGGACCGTGCGGTGCTGGATGGGTGTTACTTGCCCAGGCCAAGACAGGTGCTTTATCCTGTTGCACATCTGTTGGTTGGGTTTTGTTCTCTTTTTTTTTTTTCCCCCCTCCCTTGCTTAGCTGTTGCTGCTTTTCCTAAAGCAAAAGCAGTGTCTTCCCAGATCTCAAAGTTGCATTTTTTCAGTGACCAGTAATTGGCCATCAGCAAGTTGCTTATTATTCTGGGACTGCTGCTTTAAACCTGTGTCCATATTTTCAAGACCTGAATTTATGTTGTATGTTGTAACAAAAGACATCATGTACCAAGTGCAGATTCATACAGCAAGTTCTCATAACAAGTTGATCACAAGCCCTACAGGAACATTTAGCATTAGGTACAACTAACATAAGGGCTTCAGGCCCACTCTTAGGCATGGCAGTACTGTTCTAACTGGGCCACTGGGTACAAAAATGCTTAACTATTGTTTACTAGCTATGTCGTATTGCTTTGCTTATGTTTGAGTTGAAGACAGAATAATTTAATTAAACCCTGCTTAGTGTGCTTCTGCTTGTATGGGAGAAACAGACCTCTGCTTTGGCTACAGTTCAAACCCAGCACTCACGGGTGGTTGCAAACTTCGAGTTCAGTGCCTGCATCTGGACTTCTTGCATTTCTTCCTAATATTGATTGTGGGTTTGGTGATCATTGGCATTTTATATGCCGACGTCCTTCTTGCCTGTCCGAGGAAAATAAGGATCTGGTTTCAGCTGATCAACTGTGTTGTGACCTTAACAGATAATATGAGTGCCATTACTCGTGTTTTAGTGGTGGGGGTCCAAGGTTCTAAGTAAAATGGGGTTTTGTTCTTACTGTTCACAGAAAAAAAAATCTTTTAAGTGTACCCTCAAAATTACTTATGATTTCCTCTCCTCTAAATACAGGTAGATTTAGTCATGTTGCTGCCTTGCAGAATGAAGCAGTAAAAGTTTTAATGGCAATGACTGTACATGAACCCAAATTCTATGGGCTGCTTTATTTTGCCATTCAGTTCTAAAAAAGGATTGCTATGGAAACTCAACACCATGCTTTGAGCTCCATTAACAAGATTTTTAATAACACCTACTCCAAATATTTCTAAACTTTTGCACACAGATAAGTCATCAAATTGTTATCTAATTCTTGAACTATGAAAAGTAGAAAGAGATTTTTCTTGTCAACGTACTTTTTTGTCAACAATTCCCTATCCTAATGCTGCAAAGAAAATAAGGGCTGCTTATTATTCCTCTACTAAGCCTCATGTTTTCCTCAAACAGTTGGTCTGTATCTTTAGGAGCATGAGGATACTAAAGACAGTTTCTCCTTCTGTGTAATAAGTCTGTGTTTTCACTTATTGAAGCTGAGATTGCTAACATGCTGTGTTACCTAGAATTATTCATAGGTTTGAGGAAAATGTATAGTAGCTTTGTAAACTTTTAGAAGGAGCTTTTGTGTTACTTATTCTTCTTACCATAGTAGTACTCAGATAAAACAAACAAAAAAAAAAAAAAATCCCAACTCTATTTCAAAATGAAAGAGGCGGGCTATAAGGCCAGGAGCGTACTTTAAAAACAAAGTTTTGCAAAATGACTTTTTTCCATTAAGTGTTAGAACTTGCTGTATTCAAGATGAAAGCATGAGAATATGAGGGAGAGAGTTGGCAATGTCACATGTGTGAATCCTTTGGAGTTCTCGGTCGCCCGTAAGCTTCTGTTTCTACTTGATCGCATATTGTCTTGTTACCAGGTGAACTTTATATCTGAATGTTTAATATTACTACAGGAATAGCATAAAAACATACTCCATAATAATACTGCTGCTAAGCTATGTTAACACATGTTGTAGGCATTACTTTTGTGAAAATTATTCAAAATGCAATTTTTCTTTAAAATGTCAAAGTAGCTAAAGCTAAGTGTGATACCAGAAATGGAGTGAGAAGTACTTCAGCAGCTCAGCTTGTAAAAGATAATCCCTAATCTTCTAATGAATCTCTCCAGCGTGTGATTTCAACCTTTTGCTTAATTTCTGAAATACGATGAGTCATTCCAGTGATGGCTGGATTTCTGTTCGTTGCCTTTCTCTTGCAAATCCCTCTTCCATGTGAGTCTAGAAGGCAGTAGAAGGGAGAAATTTCTTATGCTGTTCTGTTCATTTTGCTTTCCTGGTTAGGGGGGGGTTCTTTTACGTCGTCATTTTTTCAATTTTTAAATCATAAATATTCCTAATGTAATATCCTGGAACAACAGAAGCTTGAAATGTGGAGACGAGTTTTGAAATTTTTTTTATGTAAGCCTTCATGAACACACCTTATAATGGGGAGCGTGAAGGGGTACTTCTGCTTACATTTAAGCTCTAATGATCAGAGCAAAATCTGTACCTGCTTATTTTCAGTATTTTTGTTGAAAGTTATGTACAAGATATGAAATGTATATATAATAACAACTGTATAATTAACTCCAATATTTTCAATAGGCCTGTTATGCTGCATCTGCTGTTGGATATTTGACTGGCAGGTACATTCCACATTTATTAATGTTTGTAATAATATACTATTAACTGTATTAGACTCAACAGTTAGAAGCTAGGAATGTTTTTCTGTTTTGGAGCTGGGTGTTTTTAGTGTGTGCAGATGTAGGGCAGTTAAAAGGGAACATGAATTTTAAAATAACTGTCAGTAATGGTTATCAATATTTCTATTGCTATGATTCAGGGCAGGAACAAGGAGGTGCTTAAGCTCATATAATATTGTCCATCTTACAACTTTATTTTTTCTCTTTTAATTTCTGAGTAGTAGTTTAACACCATTAGTATGAGGGGCAGAAATCACGCCACCATTGTTGCATCTTGGTGGACCCGCTATACCTTAATCTCATCATCTGGGCATATTATTGAACAAATACCTTATCAATATGGAGACTGATCATATGCCTTCCAGTCTCCCCTGTGCTGCTTCTGACACAAAATACTGGCTTTTCCTCTTTTCTATTGCATTTTGCTCTTAATGTTGTTGGGAAGCATTCTGTGGCCTGTGACTTGTGAGGTGTGTTTCTTGGATCCTTTTCTAAAGTAAACATCTGGTGTCTGCTTGCTCACAATTGCAGACCCGATGATGCAGGTGATCATTCCTTATTCTGTCTGCAAGCATGACACCTGTGTTACACAGTTTTGTAGTTTTTCTTTCTTTGAATAATCCTCTGGAAGTAAGCTGATTTTTTTCTGATACGTAAAGAGTCTGTAAAGCTACTAAAGAATGCTCAGTAGTTAAGAATTGTCATTTTTATCTCATCACCTGGAATAACAAGTGCCTCTGCCTGAATTAAACTATAAAAAAATTTGTGTTGAATCAGATGCACTTCCTCCTTTGTGAGCTTTCTTCATTGATATCTAGTGCTAAAGTGGAGTTGAGAAAACTGCAAATATAAGTGGCTTACCAAATTCCATACAAATGCTAGATGATGGAGTAAACGCAGTAAAAGAAGGAGCTGTGTTATGATGAGCCTGCATATGTTGCAGACCTCTGTGTGGCTGGCACGTAACAACTGTTTTACTTGCTTTTTCAATTGGGTTGATGCAGCTAAATGATTTCTGATTCCCATGTCTGTCTTTAGTCCTTCATACAAACCCCTTGTTGTTCATGCATTTTGATGACATGAGTAAAACTTAAATATTTTATATTTCAGCATCTTACTAATTTTTGTTGGTGATTTATTTGGTGTTCCCTGCACTTACTTTCCTTTTCTCTCTATCTGTTTGTTTGTTTGTTTGTTTTTCTCTAGACCAGGAGTATGTCTTGTAGTGTCCGGTCCAGGTTTTTTACATGCCCTTGGTGGGATGGCAAATGCAACCGTGAACTGCTGGTAATTTAACTACATTTTCCCTTTAAAATACTAATAGTTTGCTGTTATTTGTTGTAGATGCTGAGCTCTGCAGTATTTAGTATAGGACTTTTTTTTCTTTCTTGTAGGTAATGAGAAGGGAATTCTTCATTTATCAACCCTAAAAGTAATTTAGTTCCATTTTTTGTATTCTCATGGATAAAATTCTTTTTGTCCTACACCATTATGCATATATTGGAAAATCTATCAGTATACCTGATTGTATGGATAAATTTGAAAATGAAATCGATATTCAGTCTGCAATGCTTTATTGATCGTGGAGGGTCTTAGAGGTTTTTTCTAAATTTAAATCCACATTGCCTTTGAATTACTATATTTCGTATGTGAACAAATTGACAACTGCATTGTTAAAATCCATATTTGCTCCCCACACAGACATTTAGAGCAGTAACTAAGTATTGAATTAAATGATGTACAGAGTGATAGCATTTACTCCCACAAGCCTTCACTGAGACATGGCAACTTTAGCTGGTCTGCCACTGAAAGCTGTTCAGAAAGCTGTATGAGGTATTTTGGGTAGAAGCTCTGGTAATACTAAGTGCATGTGATCTGGAGCATTAGATTAGCAGTGGCTGATGGACAAGGGAAGCTCAATAATGGGAACACTAACAAGTCAAGTCTCTGACGCTTTGAAAAAAGACCTCTAGTGTTCAAATTCTTTTTTAAAAAATGAGTTATTGACTAAAGTTTTGCTGTCCCTATGTGACCTTAGATTAAAAAAAAAAAAATCATATGAAAACCTTGCTTTTGAGCAGTCATGTGTTTGGTTATAAGAAAGAAGCATTCATGGCACTTGCTTATGGATTTGCAGGAGACATTTCTATTTTCTCACAAACAGAGTTTTGTCTGAGACTAGCTCTGTTTACCTGACTTGATCTTGCATAAACCTGTACTCCTGGCAAAAGGTGAAGGGGGTGACTTACCTACTCTGGCAGAGTATTTGACAATATAGTAAGACGACTGGTTTTCACTGACCAAACCACAGTGTTTGGCCAATGATTTTTTTCACTGGTCCCATCAGGTTTGCCTTTTGCCTGCCATGTGCCAGAAGGAGAGAAGTAAGCATTCAGAAACCCTAAATTTAGCCCAATTAAATTAGTTTTCCTTGGCTCCTTCATGAGTAGGCACCTCCATTGAGTGAGAATCCCAGACATGCTTTCACATTTGCTTTTGGCTGGCATTACCATTGTAAGAAAGGGTGCTTTGGAGGGGAAGACTAGGGATTTTTCTGTTGCATTAACTGATCAGCTTTCTGGCCTGTTTCACTAGGCAGCAGCATGAATACTTGGGCAGGCACTACAGAGAAGGAGTGTTGCAAGGGAAGAGCAAGAGTAGCCCAAGCAAAGGAAAGGAGATGAAAATACAATACACATTGAGGGGTTTGGTTACACTGATCTGATACAGTCCGCCGCAAAAAGGGATGTAGGCCTGTATCACCTCCACACCTTTCTCCTGGCCATGTACTCCTGCTGCTTGCCCTCTTGACAGCTCTGGCACTTGTCAGCCCCAACAATCGCATTGAGTTCATTATTCTGGCAAAAAGCCAACCCAGCAAAAATCAGTAAATAATGTCATGTTAGATAAGTGATCTAAATCAGCTCGCTCTGCGGTCAGGTAAGCATCAAGCACCTAGGCGAGGGAGGGAGTGGATTATGCAGCTGGGAGCAGAAGTTAGAGACGTCTTCCCCTTTCTGTGGCAACAAGGTGTTAAGTCTCCTGCTCTGTACCATTCCCTGTGAGGAATTGGCATGAGGAGACCAGTTTGTAGGGTCTCAATTTGTATCCCTCATCAGTATCTCCCAGATGTCATGCGATTCCATGGCATTACACCTGGCATTGTTAACGTGCTGTCCTGGTTTCAGCTGGGACAGAGTTAATTTTCTTCCTAGTAGCTGGTACAGTACTGTGTTTTGGATTTAGGATGAGAATAATGTTGATAACACACCGACATTTTAGTTGTTGCTAAGTACTGCTTACACTAGTCAAGGAGTTTTCAGCTTCCCATGCTCTACTGACTGAGAAGGCTGGAGTACAATCAGTACTTTTTAGCTTTTTAGATTAGCTGTTGTCATTCCTTTCAAACCATCTTGTCACCCATGTTATCAAGCTTCAATTAAAATTGCTAGCAATATGACTTGGTTTTAGAATTTTTATGCTAGATGCAGATCACTTAATACAGCCAGACTGTCCTAAAACTAGTGACCCAAAAGCTGCTAGGAAGTCTGCCAGCTGACATGCTGATATTTAGAATCCACTCCTGTATTGTGCTGGTCACTTTCTATTCCTGTTGAGATCTGTGGATGCTGAAGGTGCACAACATCCCAAAAGCAGTAGGATTTGACCATCAGATTTACAGATGTGATTGCGGTTATAAAAAATACATGTATGCTTAAGGTTGGTGGGTTTTTTTATTTTTTTTTATATACTTTTCTAGGCCTTTGATTGTTATTGGAGGCTCTTCTGACAGAAATCAGGAAACCATGGGAGCTTTCCAAGAATTCCCACAGGTACACAGACCTACAACTTTGTACAAAAAGATTTCAGTTAAATAATTGGTGTTGTTTCTTCATTAGTGTAGGAATAACAATCCCAAACACTAACATTTCCTAACAGATCTTACAATGCTGTTTATTTGCTCCATCTACTGGTTTAAGATGGACACTGCGTAAATACAGCAGATTATTTGGAGTGTCTTTGTCCACAGTCATGTTAGAATTCATGCCCTGTTTTACGTTCTCAGCTGGTGTAAACTACTGTTGTCTGTCTGTTCTGAGATGGAAGAAAGCAAAATAAAATTTCCAAGAAAAGAAGCACCACTTTCTGGGAAAAAATACCTAAGCGCTCAGTGGAATGAGTATGGCTTTGACAGTTCCCACCAGCTGAGGAACTGCATTTTTTTATGTGGGAGTTTTCAGCTTGTTGCTTTCCATTTGGCATTTTTTCCCGTTTATTCATGTTGAAATGAGATGGAAATGAGCAAATCACTTTGATAAATCAATATAATGGTTATATGCATTTACTCAGGTTGAAGCTGGTAGGCTGTACAACAAACTGTCTGTCCGCCCAAGCAGCCTAGAAGTTATTCCTGCT